AGTTCTCTGTCCGCTGTTGAACGTCTTCCTGTGTTCGTCTCCCTTGGTTCATGCAAATAAAGTCCTGTCAACATATTCTCCAGCGTCTCCTCGTCCCTCGTGTGTGTGCAACGTGACAACAACATGAAATCAAAATTGACTCTATTTACCTTCTTCTTCTTCTTAATAAATGCTCTGATTTATTAGTGTTTTATATTAATAGTTATAGTAATAGTGATATACAGTATACTTTTAGTGATATACTAGCCAATAAGCCAACCAATTTTGGTTGATTCTGTGTTAGCCAACAATCATTTCCACTGAGCAAATTAATACAAATATTTGTCGCTTCTTATATCAGTTCCATAATCTGCTGACAGTCTTATGAAATGATATTCAACAATTTATGTATTCAGAATTTTAAATGAATTTTAAATACTTTCATAAAATAAAATGTAAAATTTAATTAAGATGAATGAAAATTTAAATTGCAAAAAATGTAATATTTTATTTGGTATAATTTAAAAGTTCATAATCTGTTGAAAGTCTTGTCAAATTATAACAATTTCTATATTACTTTTTAAAATGAATTTTAAACTTTTTAAAATACATTGTAAAATTAAATTAAAATTAGCCAAATATTAAATATGAATAAAAATAATACGTTATTTTATTTGTTGTACAGTATCTATTATATATCTGCAATGGCATCGTCGATTGAAAAATCTATATCCATCGACCACTGTAATATATCAACAAATTATTCAGCAATAATTTTCACAAAGAGTAAACATTTTTTCTAAAGCAATCACACATCTCTTTATCATTTATCAACTTTATAATATATAATTATTTTATTTTATAATATACTGTATAATTATTCAGTATGGTCTCTGCAATGCTGCCTTGGGAGTGTTTAAAAAAATAAAGTACAGTATGTTAGGCAGCAACATAATTATGCTGCCTACTTTTTAAACAGCCTTCAAAACATGCATATGATACACTACCTTAAAGAATGTCTTATCTAACAGACGCTCTGTTGTAAAGCCTAGTAAATGGCCTGTGTCAGCATCATTTTAAGAGTTTATTTTGGACCTGCCTGCCAGTGTCTTAGCACACTACCCTGATTTCAGACACTGGTAGCTGAGTACACAGCCTTTCCCTTGCCAAGTTCTCTGTCTGTGGATGAGAGAAAGAAACAGAGTCTGAGAACAAGATCAAACCATCCAGATCCTTCCAGACAGAGAGAGAGAGAGAGAGAGTAAGAAAGAGCCAGAACTTAAACTACTGACACAGTTGCACAGTGATGACAGTTTCCAGCGTCTCCAATCCCTGTCCTCGTGTCCCCTGGGCTGGATGGATTATGAGATTTGAGAAGATTGGTCCTGAAGCATTACAAAGCCTTGAGTCTGTTTTTATTTTGGAGTGGATTCAGATTAGGGACAGTAGGTGAAGACACTGTTTACAAAAAACAAGATTTAGCCTGGAGACGTCTCTCAAATGAGAGCTGCGCTTTACTTTAGAGGACATAATGATTACAATAAGGTTCAGAAATCATGTAATAATGAGCTAAGGAAGGTTCAGTTACACTTTACTTGAAACCTGTGTATATAATGCATTAACTATGTCTTGTAATGCACCTCATAATGCATTACATGATCTCATAAGTAGTTGTAACCACAGTTATAAACATTAAAACTTACTTTAGAAAGTATAATGCTTTGAAACATGATGAACAATCAATTTCATGTGTAAGAATAGATCTGAGGATATTCTAATGAAATTTGTTTATAAAAAGATTATTATTTATCATTTATAAAAAGATATAGTGCATTGCAACATACTTTATGAATTTCTAAGAACTTTTTCTTTAAATATCATTTCTCTATATCTGTGTATTAGTGGTGTTATCAGGGTGAATGTGTGGCGTTCGGGACGTGGCCGCAGAGCGTGGACGGAAGCTGGGGACCTTGGACCACCTGGGGCGAGTGCAGTCGTACCTGCGGCGGCGGCGTCTCCTCATCCATGCGACACTGTGACAGCCCAGCGTAAGTAGGCAAAGTAAGCCAGAACAAAACTGAACAGGTCCCTATTTAGTCCATCTACAGCTCACACTAGTCTCATTTCTGTCTCACATTTCTGCATAAATATGTGCACAAATCAAAGCTGGATTGGTTATACAACATTGGCTGGGACATACTATTAAAGGGTTAGTTCACCCAAAAATGAAAATTCTGTCATTAATTACTCACCCTCGTGTTGTTCGTTCATCTTCGGAACACAAATTAAGATTTTTGATTAAATATTTTGATGATTTTTGATGAAATATAATGAAATAAGAATGTGGCGACGCTGACCCAGATCCGGCGTAATGATGTCATCACGCCGGATCTGGGTCAGCGCCGGCGCCGCCACACACTCACGTCATGGTAATGTCGTGAACACGTGTCCAAAGTGACGCAGTAGAGATGAAAATGTGGAATAAAGTCGTTATTTTTGTTTTCTTTGTGCAAAAAAAGTATTCTCGTAGCTTCGTAACTTTACAGTTGAACCACTGATGTCACACGGACTACTTTGTCAATTATCTTGGTACTTTTCTGGACCTTGAACGTGGTAGTTACCTTGCTGTCTATGGGAGGGTCAGAGAGCCCTCAGATTTCATCAAAAATATCTTAAATTGTGTTCCGAAGATGAACGAAGGTCTTACGGGTTTGGAACAACACGAGGGTGAGTAATTAATGACAGAATTTTCAGTTTTGGGTGAACTAACCCTTTAAGGTGCGGTTACATTTACTGGTGTTCAGAAATATTTCCCAAATAAATTTTTCCCAATTTAGCAATGGCTTCAAGTTAGTCATGTGAATTCGCTGCGCTGGCCAACAGAAACCTGCTTGCTTTGAAAGTGAATTCTGTGTGAGCTGCTTCCTTCATCACTACAATATTAACAATAGACAATGAATCTTTTTAACCCACAAAACTTTGTCTGCATCATTAGGGTTCACATGCAGATTAGTATGCATCGACCCAACTGTTGCAGTTTCAGGTACACTACCTGTCAAAGTTTGAAATAATTATGATTTTTACTGTTTCTGAAAGAAGTGTCTTATGCTCAGCAAAGCTTTATATTTGATCACAATTACAGAAAAAACAGCAATAATGTGAAATATTATTTCAATGGAAAAGAACTGATTTCTGTTTGAATATATTTCAAAATGAAATGTATAAGAACCATTAATAATAATTGAGCATCAACAATAATTGATCAAATTAAGCACCAAATCAGCATGCTTTAATGATTTCTGAAGAAGTGATGGCTGCTGAAAATTCAGCTTTGCTATTACAGGAATAAATTCTATTTTAAATTCTATATTAAAATAGAAAACAATTATTTCAATTAGTAAAAACATTTCTGTTTTTACTGTATTTTTCAGCGCCGGCGCCGCCACACACTCACGTCATGGTAATGTCGTGAACACGTGTCCAAAGTGACGCAGTAGAGATGAAAATGTGGAATAAAGTCGTTATTTTTGTTTTCTTTGTGCAAAAAAAGTATTCTCGTAGCTTCGTAACTTTACAGTTGAACCACTGATGTCACACGGACTACTTTGTCAATTATCTTGGTACTTTTCTGGACCTTGAACGTGGTAGTTACCTTGCTGTCTATGGGAGGGTCAGAGAGCCCTCAGATTTCATCAAAAATATCTTAAATTGTGTTCCGAAGATGAACGAAGGTCTTACGGGTTTGGAACAACACGAGGGTGAGTAATTAATGACAGAATTTTCAGTTTTGGGTGAACTAACCCTTTAAGGTGCGGTTACATTTACTGGTGTTCAGAAATATTTCCCAAATAAATTTTTCCCAATTTAGCAATGGCTTCAAGTTAGTCATGTGAATTCGCTGCGCTGGCCAACAGAAACCTGCTTGCTTTGAAAGTGAATTCTGTGTGAGCTGCTTCCTTCATCACTACAATATTAACAATAGACAATGAATCTTTTTAACCCACAAAACTTTGTCTGCATCATTAGGGTTCACATGCAGATTAGTATGCATCGACCCAACTGTTGCAGTTTCAGGTACACTACCTGTCAAAGTTTGAAATAATTATGATTTTTACTGTTTCTGAAAGAAGTGTCTTATGCTCAGCAAAGCTTTATATTTGATCACAATTACAGAAAAAACAGCAATAATGTGAAATATTATTTCAATGGAAAAGAACTGATTTCTGTTTGAATATATTTCAAAATGAAATGTATAAGAACCATTAATAATAATTGAGCATCAACAATAATTGATCAAATTAAGCACCAAATCAGCATGCTTTAATGATTTCTGAAGAAGTGATGGCTGCTGAAAATTCAGCTTTGCTATTACAGGAATAAATTCTATTTTAAATTCTATATTAAAATAGAAAACAATTATTTCAATTAGTAAAAACATTTCTGTTTTTACTGTATTTTTTAACAAATAAATGCAGCCTTGGTGAGCATGAGAGACTTCTTTCAAAAACATTTTAAAAATCGTAATTCCAAACTTTTGACTGTATTTTCACTGCAGAAAAGGCGCAGCAATCACAGGCACTGTATTAAAAATGTTTTTAAAGCAATATTTCACCCAAAAATGAAAATTCTGTCATCAACTACTCACCATCGTGTTTCAAACCTGTTTTCATTTCTCTCTTCTGTTGAACACAAAATAAGTTGATGATAGCCATTGATTTCCATTGTATTTTTTTCCGTACTGTGGAAGTCAATGGCTACCAGAAACTGTTTGGTTACCAACATTCTTCAGAATATCTTCTTTTGTGTACAACAGAAGAAGGAGACTCATACAGAACAAGCGCAGGGTGAGTAAGTGATGACATAATTTTGATTTTTGGGAACTATCCTTTTTTTAAAGAACCCAAACTCAAGTTTGTCATGCCAAAATAATAGATATTTGATGGTCCAAAACGATTATAATTATTTATTATTTTTCTTGCCAGTTTCTCCAAAGATTTCATAGGTAGCCGCAGGAGCTCAAAATAGGTTTGGATGTAGATGGAGTTTAGGTTTCATTTTCGGTGGTTGCGGAAACATCTATCCTTGCACTCTCGCTGCAGACAGTGGAGGGAGTGTGGCCGGTGTAATATGTAACACCTGTGTAAGATGATCGTCCCTTAAAACCTGGCTACCCGAGAGAAAGGAAACCCAAGCACTTCAAGCCAAGCTGCCCTGGAAAGCATTCATTAAGAGCAGTCCCTGAGAAAACAGCACAACCAGCCGCTCTCGGTGCCAGACGGCACGGGGGGAGGCGGAGGAAGACGGCCAGAATCACCTAAGCCTTGGCAAACCTCATTACACTGCGCTCCTGGGTCAAAATAACCTACGGAGAAATGGCCAAACAGCTCAGCCGTTCACTGAGAGAGACCTGGATACATGCATCAAGTATTTATAAGACAATGAGAAAGAGTGCATACTGCCCTGCTGGTCATAACAACCTGAACAGACACTGGAGATAGAACAAATGTCTTGAGCTCTCTGTCAAACAAACACAAATGGAAACTGCTTTTCATGTTTGCTTGTGGCTTGAGGAGTTTTCTGAATGTCCATTTATGGACCTGAAGTCAACCTTGATAGAACACCTAGATACTCAAGGGGCTTATTAGGGGCCCGGTTATTAATTATGGGGATTATTGTTTATAGAATTGGAAATCACTGGCCTGAGGGGCATCTTGCTCTCGAACAATGGAACTCAATGTAAGGCTGAAATGAATTACACATTAGTTTTAACAGGATATATCAGTGATTTTCGCTGAAATTATCCCTTTAGTAGATTCTACGTAGCAGAGATGCTTTTTTTGTGCTCCTACTGGCATAGAGTGGAATTGCATATATAAATATAGCTGCAAGTGTAGATGACAGGCTCTAGAAAAACTGTGGCAACATGCATTTAAGTGGGTAAATATAGTAGGACTACTTCAAAGTCTGTTTTGAGTGCCACACTTCCTCCTACCAGCTGGTGGCGCTATGACCCTGAACCACAATTGCCTCATTCATGTGATCAGCTGGCATGAACAAACGTACAACCACAATTTTATCTGCATCAGACAGTGCACTTAGAAGATATGAGACTCTTCCAGTTTCCCTTTTTTGCCATTCATTTATTCTCTTATCATGGCAACACTGTAGGAGATATCAAAATCCACATTAAATCCAAAATGGCCGACTTGGCAGAGCTAATGGTTGTCATTTTGAAAGTTGATGAGAACAACATATGTTTTGAGTTTTGTGGCTAGGTAAAACTGACACTACAACTTCAGTCGAAAGGGGGCACTACAGACATTGTACTACAATATCCAGGTGAATTCGCAATAATGGGTCCCAACTCAAAGATGTATTTCTGTCAGGACTGCTATCGTCAAAATGATTGTCACTTAGCATACAGTTTGGATTTGGCGGTATGGTTCTGTTCTGGGTAAAAATCCCTGCCCATGAATGAGCCTGTCATGAATGAACAGGGAGAGCAGCAGTAACCCCTTAGGGTGAACAGAACAGAACCAAATGCAGATATCATTAATGTTTTTAATTATATTTTAGTGTAACAACATTATTCAAGATAAAAGGAGTCTGATTCAGGAAATGAGGAATATCAGAAAGCCAAGTCCTGACGGTGACGAAAGGAGGAGCTGGGGATGGAGGAGGGTAATTTGCTCCCGAGCAAGTGATAAATCTGCTGAATAATACTGAAAAGACCTTATATAGGAATTCCGTGATGGGCGTTGTATTCCTATAGGTAGACGTGGATCAGCTGAGAGTCAGCCGATGCAAACTTGACTCACGTGACCTGCCAGAACTAACGCTATGCTTGATTTGCTCACATGACCCAAATAATTTAACGAATCAAAATTATTTTGGTAAAATTTTGTGAAATGGGTGTCTAGATGATGCATGCCATAATTTCACGTGAATTGAATAACCTAGAGGGAGTTGGGAAATTCTATATGGCAATTCATTATAATTGGCATATTATAATTAATAGTCCAATTAAATTATGCTATTATTGGGCCAACTAGTGTCGCTTTGTGTAGTGGGTGGGATTTGGGACCAATTATTGAATGATTGTTTACAAGCAGGTTTCCCAAAAACGTCTACTGACACTTTTTGTAAATTATTTCCAAGATATTAATTTGCAATTGTGATTTAATATATTGCAATTTTGATTTTATATCTCGCCATTCCGACTTTTTTCTCAGAACTGTTAGAAAAAAAGACTGAATTGTGAGATATAAATTTAGAGATATTAATATGGTGACTTGGGTTAATAACAATGCTGCGATGGAAAGAGGCCAGGTTGAGTCGCAAATTAAAGTTTAATTGACTTTAGGGCAATAATGTTTAATTACACAGTGCACATCATTTTTTTACATCAATTTTTTACAGGGGATTTTTTTTTCGTAATTACAAGAGGTAAAAAGAACATGAAAAGTGATCATTTTGTATTATTTGCAATTGCGACTTAATATATCGCAATTTTGAGTTTATATCTCACATTCAGACTTTTTTCTCAGAACTGCTAGAAAAAAAGACTGAATTGTGAAATATAAATTTAGAACTGCAAGTAAAATGTCAGAATTGTAAGAACTGTCACATAAAGAAGTATTTTAATGTTGAAAAAAATGACACACATTACCTTTAAACTGATCTGAGATCAGCACAGAAGAGCAAAGTCAACACAGATCTAAAAAGATGGCTATGTTTGTGTGATCCGATGACCTGATCTGATCTTTTGGACACTAAACTTCTGCAGAAGACCTGGAAGTATGTGTTTGTGTGTGAGTGATGGCGTGTTGAGATCACCTCTGCTAAAGCAAATGCAGTACAGATGTGTTGACTGGAATGGTGTGTGGATGTGTTTTTTACTTAGATTCCCCGTCTCTCATGATGATACCTCATGAGTCTTTTTTTATTCTTTCTCTTTCAGACCGACAGGCGGAGGGAAGTACTGTCTCGGAGAGAGGAAACGCTACAGATCGTGTAACACTGACGTGAGTTACAACTCAGTTTTTCTTTGTCTGTCAGCAGAATCATTTTGATTTTTTTTTTTTTTTACTTTAACAGCTTCTGTGACAATTAGAAACAACCAGTATTGTTTCTATTACAATTTAAAACATCTGTTTTTTATACTATATATATATATATATATATATATATATATACACTGAACAAAATTATTATAATTTTGTTCAGTATATATATATATATATATATATATAACAATTATTTTAAATATGTTTTAAAATTAGTGCTGTCAAAATTAACGCATTAATGCATGCAATTAATTTTTTCAGTTTTAATGTGTTAAAAATATTTAATGGTACAGGTGATGAGGGAGGTTCAGTTGAACAACAGTGAACTGCGGTCAGATGAGATGTCAGGCCATGTCAGTAAAAACGAACTTTCTGTCCCATCAGCCATTATAATGTGCTTGTAGTGCGTGCTCTCATTTTAAAATGCAAAAGAATCTACGAGCATGCAATGCTATAGTTGTGTCGTCAGGTAAGTCATGAAGTTACCAAAAAGGCGATTAAAACTGCCTTAAAACGGCATGCATGTATTTGTTATACAGTATATGAGTCAGATTTAAGAATATGTTTTTGAAATGCAGTGGTTTTCAAAACTGTCCTCGTCTGGAGCAGCCCTCATCTAAGTCTCCCTCATCTAACACACCCGATTCAACTCGTCAGCTCATTAGTGGAGACTTTAAGACCTGAAGAGGGTCAGAAAAGGTAAAGAGTTGTGAGAAAATACGATGCGTGTCAGATCCGTGTCATGTACAGCAGCAGCAGCTCTTAAAGCAGCCAAAATAACCTAATAACCAGCTGCTGTGATGTCTGTTAATCAAAGAACAAAAGAAAAGAGAGGAAATCAATAACTTTTGTAGCTTTAAGGATTCATTAGTATTTAATTTAGAATTTCGTGTTTGATAACTTTATTCAATTTCTGTATATTTCCTACTTGCTGAAGGGCACAAGTAGCTAAATATGACATTTATTATAATGGGTTTGTTTGAAGATTGTTTTAAGTTCACTTAAATTAGAAGTTGTTGTTTTTTAAAATCTAATAAAACATTTTTTTAATATTTTTTAATCGATTAACAGCACTTTTTAAAATGTAATTTACTCAGTGTCACATGATCTTTCAGAAATCATTCTAATACAGTATGTTGATTTTGTGCTTAAGAAACATTTCTTATTATTATTAGGGCTGTCAGTCGATTAAAATTTTTAATCTAAATAATTACACAATGTGGTGATTAATCAATCTAATTAATCACACATCAAATTTGGCTGAGAAATGACCCACAAAAGATAATTTACAGCCATTATTGTGTTACATGAGAAAAGCATGAAATCACAAAAAGTAGCTTTAGAAATGTTTATTTTTTTAATTTTAAATTTTTGGGTGAACTATCTATACATTTAATATTTTTTTATTATTAATAGGGATTTTTTATTTTCAGATTTTTTTATGAATATATATTACATTATTTATTAATGAAATGGTACTCTAAATAAGAAACTAAAACTGCCAGTAGATGGCATTAAAAGTCTTAATGAGTAAGTCATTAAGTCATTCATTCATTCAATTTGTTCAAACTGCCGATTGATTCAGGAATGAAGTAAATGGCTCTCTTTATGAATGCGCCATTGAATTATTGGTTCACACAATTCATTCAAAATGCAGATTTATTCAGAAATTGTGTGTTGCTTGGAGATGCACAACAGTTCTGCTGTGGCTTTAATAGATAATATTTGCGCTGGCAAAACTGAGCAAAAACAGACAATATTGTGTCTAAAATAAAACACAATATTAAGTTCAGATTTATTGAACTATTGTATAAAATCATTATCACATTTGCACTCGTGCTGTTTGGGACACAAACATCACTCATGTGACACTGCACTCGGTGCTCGTGTGATATTCCTTAACTCTATCATTTAATATAAATATGAGACAAAAACTCATACAGCAGCCTTTTTTCCCCGACATATTGAATTTTAGGGGCACATAACTGCAATTCTATAGGCTCCGTCACACAGTGAGTTGTTGTCCTGAATCATGTTCGTCACCAATCAGCTGTATCCACATTATTTTTCCTGTAAGAGGAAAAATAAGTAAATATGTAATTTGTAAATTTAATGTGTCTGGCATCCGGTCTCATCAGCTTCCAGCTATTTTTAGCTGTACAATACAGCTCGCTTTGCTGCTTGATATTGCAGACTGGTGTGTCTTACCATATTATTTTAATTTATTATCTTAATTATGAACACTCTGGTTTGTAGTACAAACAGTTTTACCATTTATGGTTTCTGTTATCACAAAGCACAAACTACTCTGAAACTGGCAAGAAAATATTGTCCATTAAAACTGAGAAGAACGAGACGTGTAAGAGATGTCACACAGAAGACGAGAAGAAATTCGAAGGAGTTGAGTAGTTGAGAATGGAGTAAAGGTGCACCGGTCAACCATATCAAGAGCTCTGCATAACATCGTCCTGTGTGCGATTGTGGTATAAAAATAGCCATTACTTAAAATGAACCTTGTGCAACCATGTCTGGAGTTTGCCAGAGAGTATTATATCAACCAATGGAGAAAAAGATCATGTGGTGAAATGAGACCAGCAGAACTTTTTAGCCAAAATTAAATGTAATATGTCTGGCTCTAGTGCCCAAATAACACTGGCCACCTCCCAAAAAAAAAAACATCTATACATCTACACTTAGAGTATTAAAAAAATTGTTATTTTTTTAAGAACTGTTCACTCGCATGTTCTTCTGGGAACCCAAAATGTTTCTTCTATGGCATCGCTGTGAAAACCCCCTTTTGGAAACTTTATTTTTAAGAGTGTATGGTGAGGTACTGGTAGCAGCATCATGCTGTGGGACCTTTCATTAAAAAGTGACAGTAGGGAATGTGTGACACTATTTAATATTGTTCAGTGTAGGATAAAATAAAAGTCTTATAAATACTCTATAAGATAATTTGGTAAAAATGAGAGTACCATCTGAATGCTTTTTCAATGGTTAATTCGCCGCCAATTATTTGATTGTTTGATCGCAGGCTTGTCCAGCAGGATCGCGTGACTTTAGGGAGAAGCAGTGTGCCGATTTTGACAACATGCCTTTCCGTGGGAAGTACTACAACTGGAAGCAGTACACTGGAGGTAGGTTCCCAGCCCAACACCCAGAGCGATGGGCTACAGAGGGAGCCGCTCTCTCCCACAGCCTTCCCAAAGTCTGGGCTTCAGTGACAGTGTACATACCGGCTTGCTTTGTGTACCCTGCTAACACCAACACTGTGAAAGTCTCTTTGATGGGCTGAACATTTTTCATATTCCAGCTAGAACACCATCTATTGCTAGTCTGTATGTGTGTGTGTGTGTGTGTGTGTGCATGTTTATGTGGTTTATGAAGACACAAATTTGTATAACCATTCACAGAAAACGGCTTACTTCCACGTTGAAAAAAAAGGTGGATAGGTGTGTTCGAGTTGAATCAGTGCTACACAGACCGATTGTTGTATGACATCAAAATACCACGAGAGCTATAGAGAGCAGATGCTCTGCATGCTTTAGAATCGCCCTCGCGGTTTTTTGATGTCATACACCGATCGATCTGCGCAGCGCTGCTTAAAGTCGAGCACACATTATGAAATGTAAGATGACGTATGTGGGGCAGCGTAAGTGCGATAATTGCATAAAATTTTTTTAATGCATTGTTTTTTTTCCTTAACGAATTGATTAGATTATCACATTAAATCAACAGCCCTAATTATTCACAATGTTGAAAACAGCTGTCCTGCTTAATATAATATGACATAATTTATTTGAAATAGAAATATTTTGTAACAATGTAAAAGTCTTAGCTGTACAACCCATAAACTGTTGTTTTTAAAAAAATGGATCACGGGGAGCAAAAATAAAAAAAAAATTAAATTTTCCCTCTCCATCTATTTCTAGGTGTCCTTTATCTTCTTGTTTTTATTTTGTTTTAGTGCTTATGTGTGTTAGCTTTCTATATTCTAATCAATCCCACAGACTTCCTGTTTCAAAGGAAATACATCACCACAGGACTTTATGGGGTCTTTAAGGTCAAAATTGAGCTTGTTAGGCAGCCTTTCTACCACAAATCTTAAAAAATAACAACTCTGGAAAACAAACAGCACCCCCAAGCACAGAAAATGAACGTGTGTTGTCCAACACAAATGTGTTGTGGATATGGACTATTGGTGACATCCGAACAGATTCTGGGGGCTTTCGACAGCAGCCCGGCGCTGGTTCTGCGCTTATAAAACAGCGACCCCATCACAGATATAATGTAATTAGTTCTTTGACCTTCTGGAATCCAAACGAAGCTTTTGAAGTGAACAACCAAGGGTTGAAGACCACTCTCTGGCGTGTTTATGTGGGGCATTCCAAGGTCTGGATTTATTATGGCTGTGGCTTTGAAATTATTAAGTCATTGAGGATACGGCCCCCCTGTGGCTCTGGTTCCAGCCGCGGCCATTGTTCAGTACCAAGCAAAGGTCTGCTATCATTTGTTCTACTTCTCAAAACAATGAGCTAATCTGCACCCCTTCGCTCACTGCTGACTCCATGATCCGCCCGTTTACATGGTGACTAGGGTTAATAACAATGCTGACATGGAAAGAGGCCACGTCGAGTCGCATATTAAAGTTTAATTGGATTTAGGGCAATAATGTTTAATTACACATTGAGAGGTCATTACACAATGCACTTCATTTTTAACATCAATTTTTCAGAGAAGGGATTTTTCTTTTAATTACAAGAGGTAATGCAATGTTCTACCCAAAAATGACAATTCACTCATCATTTACTCATGGTCATGTCATTCTAAACCTGTATGACTTTCTTCTGTGGAAAGTGTTTTTTTTTTTTCAGTCTGTTGTTTTAGGCCCCACTGACTTTCATTGTATGGACAAAAACAGTTCAAAATATCTTCATTTGTGTTCCACAGAAGAAAGTAATTCATACAGGTTTGTGTACATTTATTGCAACTAATTGTTAGTAATTTTTTTTATATATATAAAATGCATGAGTAATATCACACAAGCATAAATGCAATATTGCTTTAATATAATATATGTATTGTATAATTTCATATATATATATATATACAGTATATATATATGTTAGCATAATTATTTAAATATTTATTTATGTATTTATATTTTACTATATATACTATGTATATATAGTATGTATCATAATAATAATAATAATAAATGTAAGGATACGGCCCCCCTGTGGCTCTGGTTCCAGCCGCGGCCATTGTTCAGTACCAAGCAAAGGTCTGCTATCATTTGTTCTACTTCTCAAAACAATGAGCTAATCTGCACCCCTTCGCTCACTGCTGACTCCATGATCCGCCCGTTTACATGGTGACTAGGGTTAATAACAATGCTGACATGGAAAGAGGCCACGTCGAGTCGCATATTAAAGTTTAATTGGATTTAGGGCAATAATGTTTAATTACACATTGAGAGGTCATTACACAATGCACTTCATTTTTAACATCAATTTTTCAGAGAAGGGATTTTTCTTTTAATTACAAGAGGCAAAAAGACCATGCAAAGTGATCGTTTGAATACACAAATGAGTCAATTCAGTCAGAAATATGTTTTACATTTTTATTTATTATTATTTTACTTTTATTACCCATTCCCTAGTAAGTTTTTTTTGTTTACTTCTTTAATAAAATCTAAATATATATTTATATATATA